AGGAAGCAGATACACCAGCCCCAAATAGGAAGAGTGGGAAAGAAGTCAGCAAAATGTTGAGAGTGGGAGGGAAAGATTGATTGCAGGTAGAATCAAAACTGCATGTGTGTGTTTTTGGGAGGTTAATGAATTCATTTGCTTAAATTATTTCTTAGCTACTGTAATGGATAAGTTAGGTTCCACCTATCCCTATAAGTAGTAAATGAGAGCTAATGGAATGTTAGCGAGAGAGAGAGTTGGAAAATGGCAGTTGGGAAGCTGACTCCTGGGGAGTTGAGAGGGAAAAGAGGATTTCTGATTGAGGGAAACTGTAGAGAAGAGCTGTTTCTCCACTCATTGGAGCTCAAAGGATCCCAATTGCAGGAATAGGACCACCGTTCAAAAGCTCAATGGAAGCAAGACATCCTAACTTCTACCTTACTATCTTCAGTGTTATGTTAATACCATAAATAAAAGTTAACTTCTTTTTCTGTTTAACCCTATGGGCTGTGTGTCTAAGGGAAAGAATCATGTACAATTTGATATCTCAGGCTGTGTGTGTGTATAGATATACAGATATGAATTAATGGTGGCAATGTGTGAATGCAACTGTGTTTGAGCCCCAATCCCAATAATTCTGTGTGACTAAGGGCCTGTTTATACAGTGGGATGGGTTGCCTTGTCTGTTGATACGTCTGTGAGGGAGAGAGAGGACTTGAGAGGGAAAACGGTCAAGACTCTCTAAATATTTTAAAAGGCACAAGAAGGGTGGTGAGTGCGAAGTCCTGACCTATGTGTAACCCAGAACCTGGGGTGGGGAGAGAGGTTGCTGAGGGTGGTTGGCATTCTGTGTGAGTGAGAAGGGGTGTCTCAGTTACTTCTGCAGCGAACCGCTTGAGATGGATTACAAAAGCTTAACAAAGATCAATGACACAAAACAAAGGCAAGCAACCGTTTATCAGTTAACACCCCAAAAACAGAAAGATCAAAGAGAAACCAAAGCACAAAGGAAATCAGAATAAAAACAAATAAAACAGGGCCAGTTTTATCTACAGGCAATATCACGGGCATTAATACAGGTGATAAAATGGCCAGTTCTCACTGACGCCCATTCTCTCATGGAGGTCTTTACTTCACATTGAACTAATGCTCTCTCTTATTTGCTTGTCTGTTCCTCAGCTACCCTTGCAGAGTTACCTTGTTTTCCCATCTGCCCTGCAACTATGCCTCCCTCCTCTCCCCCAGAGTTAAGGTGCTTTGGGATGTGACAGGATTTGAGATAAAGATTTTGGTTGGTTTGTAGGATGGCAAATGCAAGAGAAAAGAGAGGATATGCTGTTATGGGGACTGGAGGTTTAGGCTGTGCCATGGTTTGACCACCACCTCCTCAAGGCATTGATGCTCCGAAGGAGTGGGAACTTAATTAAAATGGTCCTTGGGGATTTTACAATCTCAGTTGACAGTTCTGTTAAGGCAGCTGGGAGAGGGGGACAGGGGCCCAGGAAGGGAAGGGAAGCTGCTTGAAACTATCAATGTGGTTGCTCCTCTTAGACTTCTCCTGGCCTGAGGCACAACTGGGCCCTTTGGTTCACTCTGGAGCTGGCTGAATGGAAGAGGGCAGGGAGATGTCTAGAGTGACACTGGCGGAAAACTCAAAGCTGAATCTGAAACAGTATGCTGTAGAGCTCATTGGAAATTCTTTGAGATGGCTGCGATAGCAGCAACGAAACCCTATTTCTCTGTTACCATTGCATCAGCTAGTTTGTGCTGAGTATTTTGGCTCGTGTTGACTTCAAAGTCTGAGCCTTTAAATTGTCTGGATCTGACAATTATTTCTGATGTTTTTGCAAAGCAAACTGTGTATGTTATCTGACTCTGTAATCCAAGTCCACTTGCATTATTTGTTGGATGTCTTTGCCTGTCTGATTGCCCTGTTTTATATCCTATAATCCAACATAGGCCCAGAGAGAAAGGTGGACTATAAATAAATAAAAGTAAGCCATCATTCAACACTGAGTCATAAAGAAGCCACAATTAATACTCAGAACTTTAGGAAGTGGAATTGACAGCAGTTTTAGATCTCCCATTAAGACAAACTCTTTGAGAGTTGGGATGAGAAGACTGAGACATGGTGAGTTTATAAGCAACTCTCAGAAGGTAAGGTGAGATAGTTGGAATAAAACATTCTGCCGTGCTAAAGCTATGGCGAGAGGGAGTGAAAGCATTTTGCCACCTTGTGCATGTCCAGGTGCCAGATTGGATCCTTCCTTCCCCTGGCCATGCCTATTTCCTCTTTCCCTAATTCTCCCCTTGAGTAAGCCCTTACTCTTAAGAAGGCCTTTACCACCACCACCCGCCCCTGAGAAGCCCTCTGCTCCACAAGGAGCTAATTCTGATGGGCTTCCCTTCTGACAGTGCCACCCTTGCTGTTGCCACCCTACCTGGCTCTTTTTCTCAGCCCAGTCACTGGGCTGCTGCCTTCCTTAGGACTTCGCCCATGCTCCACCCCTTCTCCCTCAGTGCTAGGGAACCCTGGGCTGTGACATTTCCATAACAGAAGGTCACAATATAAATGTAAATAAATCTAAACCTGTAGTAGTAGTATATGCATAAAGCATCTCAGGGGTACCATGTCTTGGTGTCATGACCTTGTGATGTCCTCTACTTGATACTGTGGCAGTACTCATTGTATATCTTTCCATTGCAGGATTTGGATAATACAAGTGGACAGTAAACTGAGATAAATAGGCTTTGGGTGACTTAAAGTGCTCTTGAAGTTCTTCTACTATTACTGGCTTCTCTGTACTACTCAAAAATTTACTTTGTTTCTGCAAATTGGAAATGTTGCAATTTTAACTTTTATAAGTATTGTGTGACCTATAGTTGAATTATCTCTTAAGAATTATTATGGGTCATTTACCTCTGAAGGAGCTAGAATAAAGAGGTAACGCTTTCAACACTGGAATCTACAAAAACAGCCATTCTGAAAAGGCTGTTAAAATTATAGCTTAAGCATGATGTAATTAAGAACTAAATTGGTTTTTTGGATAAGAAATAGAGTCTAGTTAGAGGCTAAATTAACTGCCATTCATCCTGTTTCTGAACATTTAAATTATTCTTTTATAAGGCTGCCTTTAGAAAACTATAAATATAAGTTTATAAGGCAAAATTTAGTCTGAGCTCATATAGTTACAGGCAGAAGTTTGTAACATTTATGTAAATTCTTCTTTTATAATGCTGTAAGGTCCCCATCGATGTTGATTACCTCTGGATCTTTTAACTATCACAATTCTGAATTTTGCCTGTATTTTTCTGTTGGCTAGCTGGTGTCTTTGGTTAAATAGCTATTCTTAGGGAGTCTACATCATTTTCATGAGACAGTATGGTGTCCTGTTAAGACTCTAATCTAAGGTGGACTCTGATCTGAAGAATATGTAGCAGGGACTTACCTGCAACCCGGAGCTGGTGGGGGGGGTGAGTGAGGGACCCCCTTCTGGCTGGCTCCATGCTAGCTATATGGTCCTCTGGGGGTGGGGCTCGGTAGCACCTGGCCAGCACATCACACTGCCTGGGTTGGCCTGGAAGGGGGCTGTGGGCATGCCAGAGTTTCATTATCTGTTCTTTCAACCCACACCCTTTGGCTATTTAAACACACCACCACAGGGACTCTCCTGCCAGTTCCTCGTGGCTTTCCCTCCCACCTACCCTGTGATTCAGTTGTTACGATTTTGTGTTCGGCTATTTAATTGTTGATTTTACTGTCACAGCTTGACTGGAGGTTTGGGCATTGGGATGGATCCTTTGGGGGAAAGGCTGTGTCTGTGCACCCACCTCCTGCATGTTGGGGACTCCCTTAAGGGACTCTTGGGGTGGAGCTATTCAGTGGCATGTCCAGCTCGGGGGCTGTCGGCTGGCTCTCACCACCAGGTGGCAGGGGAGCCATGCAGTGGCTGACATCCATGTGGTTCCTGGGCGCTTGTAACTCCATGGGCCCACACCCAGTATGTGGGCTGGGAGGGATGGGGATACTGGGCAGCAGGCAGGTTGCCTGATCTGGATCTGACCTCATGCTGTGCCAGTGCTCCTGTGCTGTAACCAATAAACCTGTGGCCTGTTTTCTCCAAGTCTTGTGTTGTTGTACTTCTTCCTCACTCTTGCCCTTCACCTCTTGCCCCTGGGTCCACAACTGGATTTGATTCCCCATTCTTCCATATGAAGCCTGGTGGGTGACCTTTGGCCAGTCACAGTTCTCTCAGAACTCTCAGCTCCAGCTACCTCACAAGATGCCTGTTGTGGGGAGAGGAAGGGAAGGTGATTGTAAGCCTCTTTGAGATTCCTTAAGGTAGAGAAAAGTGGAGCATAAAAACCTACTTTTTTCTTCTTTTGCATTGTGTTCCCTGGTAACTGAATCATTATGAAACAGAAAGTAAATCAACAAAGGAGTTACAACCTAAGCTCTTTCAAAAATTATTCTTTGTTGTAAGTATTCCTAAAATACATGTCTGAGTCACTACATGAAAACATGAGACCATTTTCATCTTCCTGAATAAACAAAAATAATAGTTAAAATAACCAGGCTTGTTTCTTCCCAAGAAAGTTCTAGCCACAGAATTGAAATCTCTGTTTTTTTCCTCCTGTTTAATGCTCATATAAATGCTAATTCCAGCTACTGAATACCTTATGTCGGTTGCTGTACTTTTTTCACTGTGTTGGCTGTATTATATGAACACTAGCACTGAAGAAATATGACAATTTTATATTGCTGGAGAAAAAATTAGCATGCATAAACTTACTCTTAGGCAAATGCACATTAGCTCAGAATATTTATTTTCTTTCATGGATATTGTAAGTCCATTAATATTCTATAGTATTTTCTAGTTTGCATCTTAAATAACTTATATCACAACCTGGTATATGTCCATTACAAATCTAGGGCCATTTGACATTATTTCCCTTGGGAAGATTATAAAAGAGTCAGAGTGCATTTGTAAACAGTGGCCTATATTCTTTTCAAACTGCAGAGCACTGAACAGATTTCAGCATTGTGTCCAAATTTCCATGAAGCCCAGGTAAACAGTATGGAAGGAATAAAGGAAGGGCCTCCTTTAAAACAATTGGCACGGCAACTTACAGATGCAGACAGACTTAGGAAGGTCATCCAAGAACTTATGGACACCGAGAAATCATACGTAAAGGTAATAAGAATGTTTTGCATTGTAGCTATCTTTTCCCCTACAGTGTTTTTAATTGGGATAATCCATTTTCCACTGTGTTTTGTCAGCTGTGCCATATATTAACTGGTGGTATTTACTTTTTATGTGAAATCCCATCACCTTCTATGGATGCGCACACACACATCCCCGAAACTAAAAACAAAAGCCCCAGATTTTCTCTGCCATATCCCCATTTTCTTTAAGCAGTCCTTTCCCTCCTTTGTCATCCAGCTGCCTCCCTGTCTGGTTTACTATGACTGATACTTTTGAAGAAACCTTTTCTCGCAGTAATGTGATGTTGTACAATGTCTGGTATCTTTACAGGATCTGAGTTGCCTCTTTGAATTATACTTGGAGCCTCTTCAGAGTGAGACCTTTCTCACACAAGATGAGGTAAGGCAATGTTTGGTTTTTTAAAAAAACCCTTGCTTGACAATCTGTTGCAATACTGCAGGGTGTCAGATATGAAAGAAAAAAAGATCTTTTGGCAAGAGTGATAGAAAGTATCCTGCTTATCCACAGCATCATGGTGTATTTGTGTACTCCTCCACACCTCACTTTCCCCTCATCTTTCCCAATTCTGATGTGCTTCAAAGTCTGGGCATGACTGTAGCAAAACCTTGGTTTACCATGGGCAGGGGCAAATTTTTCCCAGTCCTGGCCGCTTGGCAGTCCCCACCACGGGGTTTTTTGAGGGGTTTTTTTTTTTAATCAACTGAATATTGTTATATTGAAAGTACCGTAATAACAGTATGTGTAACAAGTTCTTTCCAGCTTTCATCTTTTAACAGTAAATTTCTAGCTCCTTTCATTTTAAGGGAAAAGATATATCTCCACTAGAAAAGGGGCTGCCCTGATGTAGGTAACCCAGGTTAGCCCAGTCTTGTCAGATCGCAGAAGCTAAGCAGGGTCGGCCCTGGGTCATATTTGGATGGGAGACCTCCAAGGAATACTGATATAACAATATTTCATTGCCAGTTTTGAAAACACACTGAAAATCCCTGGTGGTGCTGTGGGGAAGGAATAGCCACTGCTTGGGGGAACAGGTCAGGGAAACTTTGGGGAAATATGCCATGTGGAAGCCCTGTGGCCACTGTACTATACTGGCAACCACAGCAGCAACAGGGAAACCATGCATTCCTGTACCTGCAGCATTGTAGTAATGTCTGTGCTCTAGAAGTTGGCTGCACTTCTAACAAATATTTCTGAGAAATGTTTATTGCAGAATTGGGCTGTTCCTTTTTGCTCAGGGCCAAAACTATTATGAGACAAATTCAATCATGTTAAGTATCCCTTTGTTTATCTCTTGTATTTATTTTGAACGTTTATATACAACGTTTATATATGGTCCATGGGGTGGCGAAGAGTCGGACTTGACTGTGCGACTGAACAACAAATACCACCATATCTTCTCAGGGCAGCTAACAGTGCAAAACCAGGTTGCAAGGAAATAAAGTGTAACAGTATCTTGTAATTAACCAACGTATTTATTAGGCAGCATTATGAAAAGCTACTATCCCCCTCTCTCCTGGCCTTCCCCTGTGCAGATGGAGTCTTTGTTTGGCAGCCTGCCAGAGATGCTGGATTTTCAGAAGGTGTTTTTAGAGACCCTTGAAGATGGAATTTCCTCCTGCCTGGATTTTAATACCCTTGAAACCCCTTCTCAGTTCCGGGTAAATATAAAATCTCATTTTATTTCCAAAAGTGCATCTTGATAATAAGGCTCATTACCTTTTTCTTTCCCCCATTTCCAAGTGGAAGGTTTTTGTACATAAAATCTAAAGTGCTCATAAGGAGAGCTATTCGGACATTGAATTAATTGAGGGACACTGAGTGCATTTCTATAATTGCTGCTGTTGTGATGCTTCTGCGGCTTCTCTGTGGCACTACTTATGCAGTTCGTATCGCCTGAAAGACACTGTTCCCTCTTTATGCTCCTTGATCATATTTAAGCAGTGGCTTTCTTGGACTACTAACCAAGATTCTCACAAGCACAGTGTGATTGTTGGTAGCATAAGTTTGGATTTGTGTGAATGTGCAAAGAATGTTGTCTTTTCCAACAGCGATTGCTGTAGACTTAGAAATTATGATAAAGGCTGAATGACGGTCTATCTTTTTAATGTATTGGAACTCAAAATTCCACTATGGAATCCGCCCATATGTATTCTTTGGTATGCTATAACTGAAAATATGTAATTTGTAGGATGGATTTGGTTTTTAGAGCTTATTAGCTATTTAACAAAAGTGTCAAAATATGGGCTATGCTCCATTTGGTTTTTAGAGCTTATTAGCTATTTAGCAAAAGTAATAGTGTCAAAATATGGGCTATGCTCTGGAAACTCTGCCGTTCACTTTGATAACCATGACCCTGAGGGCATATGTACATTGCGCACTATAAAACCTGGAAAATACGGTTCTTAGTCCGTGTTGCAAAAGTGCCATTCTGCTCCCATGTTTTGCCATAGGATTTATATTGAATTCTCATTTTAAAAAATGATTTTTTAAAAAAAGTAGAAAAAAAAATCTGGTTTGTGTAACGTGATAATTGTTTCTGAAATTTGCAGAGAAACTATTTTAAAACCCTTTTGTGAAAGTAAAATAAGTTTACTAAACATTCCCTCCTAAATCACTTCTGTAATGCTTTGCATTTAGAACTGTCTCTCTCTCTGTTGTTAAGTGCTGTCAAGTCTCTGCTTTTCTGGAATACCACACGCCATGTCGCATGCTTGTCTGATCTCTCCCTAATCCCATCCCAGACTTGTATTAACAATATGTATGGCGAGCTCAAACAAGTATTGTGCTCAAAAGCTGAACAAATTCTTGTCTGAGAGAGACCAGCATTGATTGAAGTGGAACCATGATCCGCTTGCTTTGTTTCAAGTATGCTGACTGTATTTGGTAGCATGGAAAGTCTGGGTGAAAATGTTGAAAATCTGTAGTTACAAAATAGCAGCAGTTGCATCCAGACTGGGTTAGAGAAGCCTTACATGTGACTTAAATACCAGGGCAGAACTATCCTTAAATACTGCTGCATTACTGATATGTAGTTTGGCAGAGGTAATAAAAAGGCACATGGGTAGAGGAACGCTGAAAATGTTCATCCGTTTAATTGGGCACTCAGGCAACAAGTGAAACCTGATTTTCTTGTGTATACATAATAGAGTTACTTTTACATAAAAGATGGGCAGTGGACAATATTGTCAGTATCACTAGCACATTTTCCTTACATATGGCTATGAGGTGGTACACACATTTTTAAAAGTGCTTAAGTGCAGTAAAATGTTTTGTGGTGGATCTCCTGATGACACCTGGGTTTTGGTCATTGTGTGACACAGTGTTGGACTGGATGGGCCATTGGTCTGATCCAACATTGGCTTCCCTTATCATAGAATCATAGGGTTGGAAGGGACCCCCCAGGATCATCTAGTCCAACCCCCTGCACAATGCAGGAAATTCACACACACACACACACACCGTGACCCCTGTTCCATGACCAGAAGATGGCAAAAAAACCTCCAGGATCCCTGTCCAAACTGGCTTGGAGAAAATTGCTTCCTGACCCTAAAGTGGCGATCAACATTTCCCCGGGTGTGTAAGAAAGGGTCACGAGAACTAAGCACTGATGCAACCCTTCCTGCCCTCCCTCTCACAGAATCAGCATTGCTGTCAGGTGGCCATCTATCCTCTGTTTAAAAACCTCCAAAGAAGGAGAGCCCACCATCTCCCAAGGAAGCCTGTTCCACTGAGGAACTCCTCTAACTTATGTTCTTATGAAAGTCTCTTTAGCTGCAGAGTCAGTGCTTTTTGCATAGGTACCTCTTTGGTATGGATGGTTAGGCTAATTCTATAGTTGAACATTTTGACAGATGATGTAAGCAGAGTCTGTTGTGGCCCTGCTATCAAAACATTTTCCTTGACTTTGTGCCAGCCTTTGATAGTTGCTTGTCTTCTTATCTTCTCAGTTCCTAGGTCTGAAGAGGGCAAAATGGAAACTTCTTCATGTTTTTCCTCTGTTCTCTGCTTTCCAAGAGACCTCAGTGTTTGTTGGGCAGACATCTGATTAACAGCTGGCGTATAGACTCTCAAACGAAGAGTGGCCATTTTATTTTTGTGTACCTGTGTTGCATCTTGACATCTCTTTTATGCCCATCACCATGTAGTCCATTTAAGTCTGAAGGACATCCTGTATTCTACTCTAAGACTCTACAAATGCACTCTAGGGGCTTCTGCATTGCCTCAGAAACATCTTTTCCTCTCTCCCCTGTATGCCCTTTTGTAAAAAGGTGTGTTTGACACTGAAGATTTAACCTGATGAAGAATTCTAGGAAATTTGAAAGCTTCCTTGCTTTTTTAAAATTAATTCATCCTAATTATTTAAAAAAAGACTATTGCATTACCTTTGTAGGCTAAGGACACTCCCACACATACAAATAAGGAGGACATGTTTTTCACAGGGTTATCCTCCACACTGTACATCCCATCACTCCACCCCATGGTATTTCTCAAGCTCCCCCCAGGAGTCACTTTTCAAGGGACAGAGGAGACTGTTGTAGAAAATGGGAGCCCTTTAAGTATTTGAAGGGCTCTCACTTAGAGGAGGGCAGGGATAGGACTCGGGATAATTAAATTAAGGGCAGGAAGGTACCAGCTGGATATGAGGAAAAACTGTTTTACAGTAAGAGTTGTTCAACAGTTGAATCAGCTCCCGCTCACTGACAGTCTTTAAGCAGCGGCTGGACAAGCACTTGTCAGGGATGCTGTAGGCCAGTGGTGGCGAACCTATGGCACGGGTGCCAGAGGTGGCACTCAGAGCCCTCTCTGTGGGCACGTGTGCCATCGCCCCAGCCAGGCCCAGACCAAGTGTTGAATTCTCTGCCAAATAATTTTAAGTAAATGAAAGCATTTGGGATTGCATTCCTTGCTTTGTTTGGATCATCTTTAGTTAATGTATGAGTTGTTTTTTTTCTAAAGTAAAACCTCAGTATTCAGGTTAAATTGCCGTGTTGGCACTTTGTGATAAATAAGTGGGTTTTGGGTTGCAGTTTGGGCACTCGGTCTCTAAAAGGTTCCCCATCACTGCTCTAGGCTGATCTGCATGGAGCAGGGGGTTGGACTAGATGGCCCGTATGGCCCCTTCCAACTTTGTGATTTGATGCTTCTGTCTTTCTAGGGAGCTGAATTGTCTGGACCCAGGACTAAGTCCTGAGATTCAGCCCACAACTACAAAGATGTGTATTTGTTTTTTTTAAAACACTGGTTTGTAGAGTTTATTCTTGACCACAAGATGAAGATTATTTCTGCTTCTGTAAGAGTAACATGTCTTCTCTGTGTTGGTTTCAGAAGCTGCTATTCTCCCTGGGAGGCTCTTTCCTGTATTATGCCGATCACTTCAAACTGTACAGTGGATTCTGTGCAAACCACATAAAAGTCCAGAAAGTTCTTGAAAGAGGTAATTGCCTTGGTGAGATAATCCTTGCATGTGACTGATTTTAAGCAGCAAAACAATAATTTCTGCATGGCGAGAACATTCTGAAAACGATTTTTGCTTTAGTTTTGCAGTCAGCCCTATAATAAAATATGGCACTTAGGAAACAAGACACGGTTTCTGTAGCACTTATAATAGGCCGTGCATGCACCAGCATAACTTATATTTCTTTTGATTTTGGTTGTCCCTGTTTATTTCTGGACCTACTCTTCCTGTGTCTCTTGTGTGCCCAAATGAAGACAAGGTAGTGGGGTGTTGTAAGTTAAAAAAAAACCACTGTGTTTGTCCAGACAACAACTGACATTCAGTCTTTTTTATAACAAACAAAAACATATACAAGAGTAATTTTACTGATTGATAGATGTGGCCTGAAACAATTTGTTGTTATAGCTACTTCTGAGTAGATTTTCATGTGAATCAATGCTATAGTCAGTGTGGCATAGGAATCAGTGCCAGACTAGGGCTGTGGTCACACGGGGAGGTAATTCCGCTTTGTTTCCGCTTTAATTTAATCGGGAACATTTTTCTTCGGGTTGGGCTGATTAGATACAGCTGGCCCCTCTCTTCCACCACCCACTCGCCTGCCAGCTCCTAAGGAAAATCGCCGTGCATTACCCATTCTTTTTTTTTCTTTTTTTTAAAAAGCTTTCGGTTTGAGCGCTTGAGCAAGCATGCGCTTAATAAATCCATTATTTAATATTATTTTATGTTAATTTCTCTGTTTAAAGATAATATGACAGCTCCAGCAAGCCGCCTGCCCAACCAGCCCCGGAGGGGCGGGAAAAGGAAGACCGGCCGAGAGGGCTGCTGCACTCAGCTTGGCTCGTCAGGGCTGCGGTGGAGCCTCCACCGCGCCAAGTCCCTCCAGGCGATCCTGCCAGCCAGTAAACTTAAATGCAGGAGGGAACGGCGGCGAACCCCAATCAAAAGGACCGTGTGACCACACCCTAGGACTGGGCAGATTTGCTGTGCCTACTGTGCCATGAATCTTGCCGGATGACCTTGGGCCAGTGTGTCTCTCTGGGCCTAACCTACCTTATAAAGTTGTTATGATGAAAGCCACACTGAACTCCATGGAGGAAGGGTGGGATAAAATGTAATAGACTGCAAAAGGGTGGATTGATATTTATGGTACTAGTCCACTTCAAGGGCAAATCCTAGATGTATCAAGGATCCCACTCTTAACGTGATGCTGACTGCATCAGAATCTGTGGTATGTATGAGGACATATCCATTGACAGTCATCTGATGCAGATGCATATAAACTAACAGAAGTCATTTCTATAAATGTGTGTTGCTTCTGAAAACAGTAGCTTTTATGCTGATAGAATGACGTGCTTATGAGTAAGTATGGTAGCCTAAGCAACATAAAGCAAACTGTAGATGGAAGTATTTTTTCCTCTGATCTGCTCACATTTGGTCTATGTAAGTCTCTCAGTTTTTAAAAGAGCTGCTTAGTATTAGCTAAGTCCAATAAAAACAGATCATACCAAATATCAATTGCTAGTGATGCACAATGAAATCATCCTATTGAATTCATCAATCCAGTAATATCTAGGATGCTTACTGGTCCAGAGAGAGTGCTGATTGCTTTAACCATGTAACTGAAACCTCTGTAGCCTGCCAATGAATTGTTTCTCACTGTAAACAAAACACAGTACAACGTCCTACAGAATTTTTATTGTATCGAGAAATACATGATGTGATCTAGGATGCATGGGAGAGGTTTTCTGGCTTCTTTCTGAAAACTAACGTCCACATTTCCCCCTCTTTAGCTAAAACAGATAAAGCCTTTAAGGCATTTTTGGATGCTCGCAACCCTGCAAAGCAGCATTCTTCCACACTGGAGTCCTTCCTCATCAAGCCAGTGCAGAGAGTGCTGAAGTACCCCCTGCTCCTAAAAGAGCTGGTGTCTCTGACGGACACTGAGAGTGAGGAGCATCACCACCTTACAGGTACTTTCCAAGAACTCACAACTGTAGCAAAAGTTCAAAGGACTGATTAATAAGAGTCACACACTGAGCACTTTGAAGGGTTGTTTTTCCCCCTGTGAGCATAAACTAAACACATCTTATACTAAATCAGACCTTTGGTGCATCAAGGTCAGTATTGTCTGCTCAGACTACACCCCAGGGTCTCAAGGAGAGGTCTTTCACAACACCTATTGCCTGGTCCTTTTAACTGGAAATGCTGAGGATTGAACCTGGGACCTTCTGCACCCCAAGGAAGTGGTCTACCACTGAACCATTGCCCCTTCCTGTGGTTCCCCATGTAAATTGGGTGCTTTTAACTGTACTGCAAACGTCTTTTTTTTTTAAATACTTTTGTTGATCTGGTTAAGACTGTCAGAACCCAAAAAAGATACAAAGAACACGGAGGAAGAAGAAGAAGGAGAACTGGACAGTCAGCATGGCTTGGAAAGCCACGAAACATCTGCACCCAAACCACCCTGCGATGATAAAAGCAAGAAGAGAGGAAAGAAAGGCAGAAAATAGCTTAAACTTTAGAATAAATGTTTATATTACATTATATAATCTTGCATTGTCAATAATTTTTATTTTTTGCATATTGAAATAGTAGAATGGAATTTTTATTCTTAACCTGAATAAGAGAAAAGGACCTTTACCTATGGTCATTGTATAGCTGTAATGTTAGTGTGCAGTTTTTGTTTCCTGAATTTCCTAAGGTAGTGAGTTCAAAGCTTTTAAGCAGATTCATTGCACACTTTATACTGCCATGTGCAACTAAATTACTGACTTCTTTTGAACACTGCAGAGGCACTGAAAGCAATGGAAAAAGTGGCCAGCCACATCAATGAAATGCAGAAAATTTATGAAGATTATGGTGCAGTGTTTGACCAACTGGTTGCAGATCAGAATGGAATTGAGAAGGAGGTAAAGGGACACTTTAAATTCTTGCAAGTAACCCAATCCGTAGGGCAGTTTGGCCTCTGTCTTGATGGAATAATGAAGCAATTTTCAACTTGTGTTACCAGATTCTTCCTGGGTAGTTCTTAGTATTGGCAGATAGTAGAAGCTAGAAGCTTTCAACAGGAAAATGCCACTCACCAACAACTTCTTGAACAGTTTGTATGGCTGTTTCATGATGTATTAATACTTAGTTTAAAATAATTGTGCTGCTTACCCCACTGTTATTCAAAGCCAATGGTATAACACTACAACAAAACAGACAGCTATAGTTTTAAGCTAATATACTTAGGAACAAAGTTCAAGTCCAGTGGGGCACCTTTAAGACCAACAAAGTTTTTTTCAAGGTATAAGCTTTCATTCTGTTTACCTTGTTTGTTGTCAAAACCCAGGGCTTTTTTTGTAGCAGGAACTCCTTTGCATGTTAGGCCACACACCCCCTAATGTAGCCAATCCTAATGAGTTCCTGCTGGGTGTGGCCAACTCAGGAGCCAGCCGGAAGTCCGTTCCTGTGCGTTCCTGCTCAAAAATAGCCCTGATTGTGCTGCTTACCCCACTGTTATTCAAAGCCAATGGCATAACACTACAACAAAACAGACAGCTATAGCTTTAAGCTAATATACTTAGGAACAAAGGTCAAGTCCCGTGGGGCACCTTTAAGACCAACAAAGTTTTTTTCAAGGTATAAGCTTTCATGTGCACACAAACGTCTTCAAATACAAAGAGGTGTGATTGCACACGAAAGCATATACCTTGAATAACTTTGTTGGTCTTAAAGGTGCCACTGGACTCAAACTTTGTTCTGCTTCTTCATACCACTGTGGCTACCCACCTAAATCTATTCTTGGGAACAGATCACTTGTTTTAAAGGCTAGATTCTGTACTGAAAGATAACCAGGGGCACAGGATGTTTGAACTCATGTGTGTGTGTGTCTAAACAAGGCTTGTGTCATATTAGAGGCCACCATGAAATAATGCTTGGGAGACTAACATGCAGAAATAGGTGATTCAGATTACTTCAGATGTTTTTCACTGAAAGCTTTATCATTACAAATGTTAGATAATAATCCCGTTAGTAAATCTTCCTTTGGAAAACATAGTTGCTACAGTTTGATGTTGTTACTATAGATTTTGACTATGTCATCTCAGTACTAGTGGATGTTCAGTTGTTTCTAAAAGTTATGTACTTAATTTCCCCCCATTTTTTATGCGTTAAGAATTACCATAGTTGACTTGTTACTTGTTTGTATGCTATATGGAAAATTAAATAAAAATGTTTTGGAAAACAACAGCAACAACAAATGTTGCCACAATTACTGAAGGGAACTGTTTGCTTGCATTGTTGCCAGGTGTTTCATCTAACTTCATTATAATCATGTAAATGTGTATTCTCTTTTGTTGCTTGAATTGCCTTTTCTTCGAGTTAATGCTTAAAATGTCCCCTCTGTTTTACAATAAACACAGGTCACTGAACTCTCAATGGGAGAACTTCTTATGCACTCTACTGTTTCGTGGTTGAATCCGTTCCCATCCCTAGGCAAAACCAGAAAGGACTTGGAACTCACAGTGTTTGGTGAGTGACCTGAACTAAACTTATCTCCTGCAACAGACACTTCACTAGGAAGCAAGAAAATAATGGATGCCAGTAAGTCTCCTGTTCTGAAGAAGAAAGTGGCACTAAATAATATTAACGCTGTTGTTTAATCTCTGAAACCTCTTCACATACAATGGGTTGGATTCAGATTCCTGCAAGAGGAGCTGCTTTAATGGAACTGAATTTTCCCCTCCACCTGCATCCACTGTGCCTTGACCTCTGGGAGTTATGGGGACCCCGAGAGTAATGCTAGGTGTGATATGGAGATCTGTATGTGTGTGGTGATAGGGACTGGTGAAAATCCTGACCCTTTGCTACAGGAAGTAGCTTTGTGTCAATGGAAAATGAGCCATGGATCCGACCCATTGTCTTAGTAATTTTTATAAGCTAGGTACCTATTACAGAAGGAGGGAGGTTAATATGGAGAAATAGTATGAGGCATGGCTGATGTGAGAGTTGGCACGGGGATTTCTTTTATTACAGCTCAAGCCTTAAGCATCAGAGCTCAACTCACACCACTCTCAGAGCTCTCAAGGGTAACTTGCATATCTGTACTTTTGTTTGTAACTGACTATGTAAGGAAAAGTGCAGGAGACTGGATAAAATACTGTTGGGCTGCAGCCTGTCGTTGCCCAAGGATATGGTCAGAATTGTCCGGAGGTCTTTTGTAAGTGAGGCAGTTCTACTTGCTGATTACCTCACTGTGACCATTTGAGTTACTACATGTTTAGCAAAAACTTTTCACATTTTATACATTTCCTGTAGCAAGAACAGGAGCTAGGCATGCTGCAAGAGTGAACACAATGATGAGATGAACATGCACGGAATCTCTTGAGTCCATGCAGAACAAGCTCCTGATTGGATGACTTCATCGTTTTCTGGCTAAATTCACTGGGAGTGCAGTATCACAAAGAACAGGGTTTTTTTGCTCCTGCACAGCAACCATTTGGTTGTTGCAGCTGTTTTTACTAAGGTCTGAGTACTAAATCATCTCATTTACTGGAAAAGTGTCATGATGGTTCCTGTCATTAAATTGATTGACTTATGCAATGCTATTTTCTGTAATTAAAAAGTGCCAGTACTCATATAGAGGGAATTAAGAGATTAAAACATACACCGTTAACCTTCTATAGAAAATTCCAAATTTGCATTATGTACTCATCTGATGCATTTCAAGTAGAGTTGCCAACTTTTTTAACAAGGCTTTGGTCCTGTACCTCAAACAGGCACTTACTCTCCAGAGGTTAGGTGGCATTGCTTATCTTAGTAGAATAAGCTTCACCCATTTCTACAGGTCAAGCTACTATGAAAAATATAACCAAGACAAGACACTTTTTCCTGATCAGTTAGCAACCTTATTCTAGAGCACAAAGCACTCTGCTAAATCAGACCAATGGTTTTGTAGAATCATAGCCTTTTCATTAATTCAGTACTGTGACTAAAACCGAGGGCTTATCAATATACTTATTTTAATAACTGTAGTTTATTTTATTATTGTTGTTGTTTTATTAGGCTTTTAGCCCTCCCTCCCTCCCACGCAAGCAGGCTCAGGGCAGGTTACAACAGCATGAACACAACATAAGCATAATACATCTACTCCAGGGCTCCCTGTGTGTGTACAGGTAGATGTAACCAATCTGAGAGGGGGTGAGCAAATGAAATTAGCTCATGGACCTTCCCAGGCACATTAAAGGAGGCAGTGGTAAGACCGCTCTTGAAGAAACCATGTCTGGACCCTACAGAGCCAGCCAACTACTGCTCAGTTCTGAATCTTCCATTTCTGGGTCAGGTAGTTGAGAGAGTGGCAGTTGAGCAGCTTCAGGATTTCCTGTAAGATTCCTCCATCCTGGACCCATTCCAGTCCAGCGTCCACCCTGGCCATGGGACGGGAGATGGCATTGGTTGCTCTCACAGATGAACTACAGAGACATCTGGATCAAGGCAGATCAGCGCTGCTGTTATCGCTTGATCTGACAGCAGTCTTTGATACCGTAGACTACAGCCTTCTGACCACGACCTTCTGACCCACTGCCTTACGGATGTGGGGATATGTGGGACAGCCTTGCAGTGGTTTTCAGCTCTGGCCCCTGCCTGATGGAACAGTCTCCCAAGTGAGATCCGGGCCCCGCGGGACCTAATGCAGTCCTGCAAGGCCTGTAAAACGGAGATGTTTCACCAGGCCTATGGTTGAGTCAACGGGCACCTCGATTGTATTGGCTTCCGTGCTCTGGTTTGCTTTTTGCTTGCATTATTCTATCTACATTGTTCCATCTGGCACTAAGCTTCATCACTCCAGTTGGAATCAGTTTTAAGCCTGCCTGAAGTCTGGGTCCATGGAATGACAGGCCGTAGGTGGTGGCTCCCTGTGCGGGAGGCCTGCTTATGTCACCTGTCTCCTGCCCCACAAGGGAAGGAGGGGGGGCACGTGGACTGGCTGCCAGTTCCTCTTTCTCCTCCACTGGGCTCTTCTCCCACCACCTTCCCCTACCCAGCTTCTTCCCCCGCCAAAAGAAGAGGAAGAAGAGTTGGTTTGATATCCTGCCCTTCACTACCCAAAGGACTCTCAGAGCGTCTTACAATGACCTTCCCCTTCCTGTGAGGCAGAGAACTGGGACTGACCCAAGGTCACCCCAGCTGGCTTCGTGTGGAGGAATGGGGAATCAAACTCGGTCCTCCAGATTAGAGTCCGCTGCTCTTAACGGCTACGCCAAGCTGGCTCCTCTGCCAGGCTTCACACTCACCCAGCTCGCATTGCAGCAGTGGCTCCTTGCCTGCCTGGGACCATAGCAGCTTGCCCTGCTGCCATTGCTCCCCCTAAGCTGTGGAGTCTTGTGAGCAAAGATTCTACTTTGTGAGCTACTGGCATTAAAGCTGTGAGCGAGCGGCTACCGCATAGATTAGTTTGCTCTGGAGCCATCCTTCCCGAGCGGAGACAAAAATATGTGAGCCGGAGGATAAAAAACTGTGAGCTAGCTCACACTAACTCAGCTTAGAGGGAACACTGCCTGGTTCCCAGACTGCCTCCCCCCCCCCCACGTGGCCTCTTCACCCATCTGGCTGCCTTCTACTTCACAAGGGAGGGAGGGAAGAGCAGGTGACAGCTGACTATTTCTCCACTGCTTCCACTCTTCTACCCACCCCTGGCTCCCTCTCACCAGGCCTCTTCCCCATGAGACCCTCTACGGCCCCCTCCAGGCTTTATGCCCACCCAGCTCCTCGCCTACTCTGGGCTTGCAGCAACTCACCTGCCCTGCCATCGCCCGGCCTCCCTGCACTCCACAATGGAGAAAGGAAGAGAGTCCCCACCCACCCAGCTCGGAGGATGGTGGTGGCTGGGCTCCTTTCTCCCCCAACTCAGGGCACACCCGTGCCTGCCCCAAGCTCCTCACATTTGGTCCAGGGTGACACTCAAGCGGCCCAGTTTGTGTTGTGGCTGTGGTGGCCTTCTCTGGGCTCCTGCTGCCTGGGAACTTGGGGGATCCCCAGAAGAGGTGCTGGTACATCAACTAGATTGCATTGCCTGTTGTTTTTGTCTGTGTGCTCTGTCTGTGCGGTCTATTCAAGAAGTGATTGTGAAAGTGTGATTAGCTAAGATTGGGGATCAGACACTGAAGGCCATCGAACAAACATGGACACACATGGAATTGTCATAATGAGGAAAATTTCTGTTTATTTTTAATGCAGCCACTATTTTAGGTGTGTAGCGTATCACTTAGCCTAGTTTACTAGTTGTCTGCTGCATTCCAGCAGACTGGAAGTTGTAATCATGCAAACTGCTGTGCTGTCAGTATATATAGTCTTTGGGTGTTTCATCTCTGTGTTGTAAGTAACTCTTGACAAGGGACCAAATAGCATTTGTATATATTAAAGGTTGTAATTATTGAGGTATATTCCAACTAGCACTCTTGTAGTTCATTTCACTTCACTTCATTTTGAAGCTCATAATCCTAAAACAAGTACTTGCACGTTTCTCAGTCATACATGCTTCTTCCTCCTGGAACTGCAAGTTCAGGGTTTTTCTTAAAGAACACTGGATTTGCACAGTTGCAAAAGTCTGCGTTGTCTCTACCCACAATACAGTTAATCCAGGTTACTGGGGTGGGAGGGGGAATGGTAGAGATAAGAAAAGAAAATGGAGTGGACAGCTTGGATGGCATTGTGAAGGAACTAGTTATGGCTTCTGTTGAAGAAATGAACAGACAGGATGGTAAATGGATGAATTGGCACAGTGGTCCATGTTTGCTCCAAAAATGAAAGGGCTCTGTTAATGGAGGGGGGAGGGGGGTCAAAGCTCAGACCTAGAGTATATAGGACAATCGTGCAAAAGCTTGTTCTTCTGTAAAGACATTCTCACTTTTGCTCGCCTACGTATCTAGGACATGGAATCCAAACAGTTCCTTCTAGTATGAGATTGCACTGCTTACATAAACATCAGTGGAAAATAGTGCATCCTGACCATTTATTACACACACTCTGAGTTCAAAGAAATAAAATGTCAACTAATGCTTTAACAAAGCATAGGATAAAAGATAAAATACTTGCTTCCCTGCATAATTTATAAAAGGATTTTTTCCCCTTTGTCTCTCTTAGTGTTCAAACGAGCTGTCATACTAGTATATAAAGAGAATTGCAAGCTCAAAAAGAAGTTGGTAAGTTACTTTGGCCCATTTTTAATGCTCACACTTATTTATCGTCTTTATAGCTTACTTTTCTAATAGTCATCTCCCAAAGTGGTTTACATCAATAAAGAGAGCCTCTGAGGCTTAGAGCTGATGATCCTGTGGCCAGTGACAGGAGTCATTGTCCTTTCCCTTCACATTTCTGGTTTCAGGGACACTGGCTGGTAGAGGAGAGTTTTCTCTGGCTGGGAGGGTGGAAGAAAGTTCCCAGTCTCTTTCTCTTCTCTAACTGAAGTCTGAGTCAAGGTGTTCTTGGGAGAAAGGAGGTGTGAAACCACACACACAACTGCCCTGAGCTATGAAACTATGTATTAGTTGGCAGCAGCATCTGTGATCGCGGTGGTTCAAGGAAAGCTGCCTGTTCCATTGTGGAAGTTGCTGCCAGCCAGTAACCCTAAATAACTAGGCTAGCCATTGGTACATGAGACTGCTCATTGAGTGAAGAGGGTAGTACAAGGGACCCTGGCTAGTTTTGTGTGATTTCCCATTGCATTTAGTGCAATATTATAATATCAGTGTTAAATTAATGAGCGTATTAATATTGAACACTGAATCCTGGCAAGCAAAATGGTTAGACTGGCAAGGTGCCTCAGTCTTTAGTCAAGAAGCATGCTCTGCTTAGAGTGATTTTATGAAGAACTTGAGGCTATCTGTCCCTTGTTAAACACTGGCCCCAATGCCGAACACCAGCCACATACGGTATTGTTTCCCTGAGAAGTATTTATAATCTTTACTTCACCAGCACCAAAACATCTTCGTTAAAGGTTGACATTTATATGGTAAGGAATACATTGTATATGAGGACTTTTAATATATCCATCCCAGACAAATTCATTTGGAAGCTCTGTTGGTTTCAATGGCACCTCATTTAAAATAAAATAAATAAATCTGTTAGAATTAGTCTACCTCTTAAAGATAGATAGATAGATAGATAGATAGATAGATAGATAGATAGATAGATAGATAGATAGATAGATATAGATATATAAACTTATTACTTTCCCTTTTTTTCTTCATAAGCCAACTAATGTCCGTACTACACATAATCATGGTGACTTGGATTCATTCAAGTTCCGCTGGCTGATTCCTTTATCTGCTCTTCAAGTCCGACTAGGGAATACAGCAGGTAACTTTTATAAACCTATAGATCTGTGATTCTTAAACTGAGTAACAATAAGGTAAGACTTGTGAAAGTGTGTCAGCAGCAGTGCACTTATTGTTGTCTAACAGTTCGCTAACCTATACATGTTGGAATGATTGAAGGTGGGTTGAAAAGCATTAACTGAGAGCCAGTTTGGTGTATTGTATTGGTTAGGAGTGTGGACTCTAAATCTGGGAGAACTGGGTTTGATTCCCCAATCCTCCACATGCAGCTGCTGGTGTGACCTTGGGTCAGTTACAAGTTCTTTCAAAGCTGTTCTCTCATGAGCAGTTCTTGAAAGAGCTCTCTCAGTCCCACCTACCTCACAGCCACAGGCATCTGTTGTGGAGAGGGGAAGGGAAAGGGATTGTAAGCTGCTCTGAGACTCCTTCGGGTAGTGAAGGGTGAGGTATAAATCCAATCTCCTCCTCCTTTCCTTAATCAAGTAACGAATTAATCACAGATTTAAAATACAGTTTTAATGGCAGCTGCAAGTTCTAGTGTAGCTCTAAACAATTTAAGTGCATCTCTAGATCAGGAAATATGTTTAATGCTCTCTGTATTTAGCCAAATGAAAACTGATTTCTGAATAGCCTCAAAATATCTAGTATACAGAAAGGTTTCTGTAATTGGATAAAAGCAAGCTAGCCAATTGATTAAAAGCTTCACATTTGTTGACATCCTGAATTTCACATTAGCCTGGCAAAGAGCACTGGGTTGCTAATGTGATACTATTAAATGCCCTCAGAATGCATATAAGGGCAGGGATATTTTTCTTTTTTTCTAGTATACCCTCTTATTTTTCCTGTCCATGCAATGTGAATGAATTTTTGCCAATATTATGCTTCAGCTTTTATGTGAGGATATATACTGTGACTAAGAAACTGTGGTGGCTCAAGTGGTTAAGACGCTGAACTGCGGGCTGTGGAAGGTCAGTAGTTCAGCAGTTCAAGACCCGGGTTGCCGCATGACGGAGTGAGCGCCCGTCTCTAGTTCCAGCTCCTGCCAACCTAGCAGTTCGAAAGCAAGAAATTGCAAGTAGATAAATAGGGACCACTTCGGTGGGAAGGTAACAGCGTTCCGTGCGCCTTGGTGTTTAGTCATGCCGGCCACATGACCACGGAAACGTCTTCAGACAGCGCTGGCTCTTCGGCTTTGAAACGGAGATGAGCGCCGCAACCCTAGAGTCGGACTCGACTGGCTTTCGAGCAAGGGAACCTTTACCTTTACCTTTATATACTGTGAGCAACAAAAGGAAAAGAAATGAGCAACGGGGTCAAATATTCCTGCAAGATTGCTAACAATAAGAGATAATTGATCATTTAAGAGTAGGTCATGGAGGTGACTATTTAATCACAAAGTTTCCATGAAGATCATGTTCTATTTATTCGAGCATTCATAATCCACCTATTCCTTCTGTAAAGAGAGCCTACTTTCAGTGTTCTATGAAAAGTACTTTGCTAGATATTGAAATCATGAAATATTTACAACAGCAAGGATTTTTTTCTATATGCAGGAACAGAAAACAACTGCATCTGGGAAATGATTCATACTAAATCAGAATTAGAAGGAAGACCTGAAACAACCTTCCAGCTGTGTAGCAGGTATACTTCCTAGTGCTGATAATGGGACTTTATTCCTAGATGGATTCTTTCCTCTTTCCATCCATTAAAAACATGTAATTTTTAATATACAAAGTTCAGGTCGATATGATTATAGAAATTTACTGCATGGAATGTTACTTGTTTACTTGTTACTTGTTTAGCTGTGTGAACCTACTGTTTGCTCAAAAGCACTAAGCCTTCATGGTGGCTCTCCATTCCCCCCCCCCTCATCTCCGAAGTCTTGATCAATTTCAACTCTAAAGAACTTGCATGATTTAAAATTTAATTCTGTTTCCTCACATCTACAGTGACTGCGAAAGCAAGACCAATATAGTCAAAGTGATTCGTTCAATACTAAGAGAGAATTTCAGGCGCCAAATAAAATGTGACTCGCCTTTGGAGAAAACATGTAAAAGTCGGCTGGTTCTGCATAAGAATCGAATTCCTGTTTCAGCAAAACTGGGTAAGATGAAATTTTCTCCACATACATATCAAAAATGATATCCATACCATTTAAATAATACTCCCAAATGCTCAGATATACATCAAAATACAATAAGGTGCACCCTATGGAAAGTGCTAGATAAGTTTATCTTATAGCTGTGAAATAAGAGTAATAAAATTTATTCCTGGATAAATTGTACTTCCAAGCACACCAGAAAGATTGCATGATGCTATATTACGCCGTCTTTCTGCGGGTTGGAAAGGAAGACTAAAGTTTTATAGTGACGTTCTCTTAAGTTTTATGGCTAACTGACTCATCTCCTTCCTAATTGTTTTGGTGAAGTCACTTATTTTATAGCAGTTTACATTGTATTGAATACAATCTAGCCTTGGAAACAGGCAAGGGGTTTGGAAAGCTCCTTCAAAAAGAGAGCACTCTGTTGCGGCTTAGGATCCTCAGGCTACCTTAGTATATGAGAGGATACAGGCATGCATGCCCCTTAGGCACCTGGGGGTTCCACGTTACAACTTGGCACTTCATTCTCTCCCAAGTTTTTAGATCTGCCTATGTCTGGATTTTGGGGTATGTGAGTACACTTTCACATTTTATAAAAATGATTTACAAAGGATTGCAGAGAGCTAGTCAACATAAAGACCAAGTGATTCCTTCAGCAGCTTTTGTCTAACTGTGCCTACTGAAGTAGTATGTTAAGTGGAAAGGCTGGTTGCAGGATACTGAAGGGAAGAGAGGGATTGCCTGCCACTGCTGGAAGGAAGGAGGAACATCAGAGTCTCAGCACCACGTTGTTGTTGCTAACTATTATTTATTAATTTAATTAATTAGGATTATATCCTGCCCTACCCCAAAAATGGGCTCAGGGTGGCTCACAACACAAGATCTAAATAAATAATAGGTAAAGGTTCCCTTGCTCGAAAGCCAGTTGAATCCGACTCTAGGGTTGCGGTGCTCATCTCTGTTTCAAAGTCGAAGAGCCAGCGCTGTCCGAAGACATTTCCGTGGTCATGTGGCCGGCATGACTAAACACCAAGGCGCATGGAACGCTGTTACCTTCCCACTGAAGTGGTACCTATTTATCTACTTGCAATTTCTTGCTTTCGAACTGTGACTAACTGTCCCCTCAATGGCTCTTGGTAGGCAACCAACTTCTGTCAGTAAAAACAAAAAAAGGACTTTCAGCATAACCCCCTCCCCCGCCCACTGTACTTTCTCCTCAGTGCCTGTTGCTAGGCAACCAGGTTCTGTCTGTAAAAGGCCCTTTCCACACCTATTTTGGCTTTTGTGAGAAAACACATCGGGGCCAGTCCTGATAGGGTTGCCAACGTCAGGTGGGAAATTCCTGGAGATTTGAGGGATGGAGGGTGAGGTTTGAGGAGGGGTGGGACCTCAGACAGGTGCAATGCCATGGACTTCACCCTCCAAGCCAGCCATTCCCTCCTGGGGAACCATTGTTGCCAATCTCCAGGTGGGGGCTGGAGAACACTCAGAATTATACCTGTTCTCTAGGAGGGAGGGGGAGGAGATGGAAAGCTGAAGCCAGGGGGCAGATAACAGTAGGTTGATGGTTGGCTGGAAGGGAGATAGGGTTGCCAACTCCAGGTTGGGGAATTCCTGGAGATTTGAGGGGTGGAGCCTGGAGAGGGTGAAGTTTGAGGAGGGGTGGGACCTCAGACAGGTGCGATGCCATAGACTCCACCCTCCAAGCCAGCCATTCCCTCATGGGGAACCATTGTTGCCAGTCTCCAGCGGACGGATGGAGATCACACAGAATTACAACTGCTCTTCAGGTGGCAGAGATCAGTTCCCCAGGAGAAAATGGTGAACTCTCTGTCATTATACCCTGCTGAGGTCGCTACAGCAAATTGACGCTGAGTGCCCAAGGCCAGGGCACTCTCCCTGAGCCTCTTCCTAGAGATCGTTGTATTTATTTCCACAACGGGCCTTATTCCTAGTGAGACAATAAAACAAGATAGCAGTAAAAGCAAGACAAAAACTCCAGGGCAGTTCTTAATGCCTTCTGTAGGATGAATTCATTCAAAGATGGTGGAACAGCTCCATTCTGCAGGTCCTGTGGAACTGTAACAGGTCCTGCAGGGCCCGGATCTCACACTAAGTGGACATCTTTCGGGCCAGGGACTACCAGTAGATGTTGGTCAGCAGAGTGCAATGCTCTCCATGGCACATATGGGGAGAGACGGTTCTGTAAGTATGCTGGTCCAAGGCCACATAAGGCTTTAAAGGTCAATACCATAACCTTGAATTAGCTAGCAGCCCCCACTGGCTTAAAGCAGTTCACGTCAGGCAACAGCTGCACACTTACATAGTGCTGACTTGACCTCCCAGGCCTTATGGACGAGGGTAGGAATTCCTTTGCAGTGGCAGCTGGCTCCACTTTACCAGCGCCTGCTGCTGTTCCTCTTAGCATTGGAGGAGCAATGTGTTGGCTTTCACAATGACCAAAAAGGAAGCTCCCCCCACCTCTGTGGTGCCGGCACAGTTTATACATATTCTTAACTCCCCATGTCCAGGTGCCAAGTTTGAAATTTGTGAAATGCAGTTTTATGAAAAGTCTTGCCTGTATCCTATGTGAAGATGGCATAAGAATGCCTCAGTTGAGCCTGACCACAGCTGCCTGTTAAGGTTATTAATACTGACACTTCTAATGGAGAAATTATAATTGAATTGTAAGATTTTTATTAATAGCGTTGCAACTAGTTGTTGTTACTTATAAAAATTCTTATATCGGACTGGAATTACTTAAGTATTTTATGTTGGGCAGCTTCCTCAAGATCCTTGAAACTACTGAAGAGCTCTTCCAGTAATGAATGGAGCACTGAGGCTGGCAAAGGAAATTCTCTGGATTCTGATGAATGCAGCCTCAGCAGCAGTACTCAGAGTAGCAGCTGCCATACCACAGACAGCATCCTGGAGTCTAAAAATTCATCTCCTGTGAAACATCTGCAGAACTCTGCATCTGATTTCTCCGACAGCCCTGTCAAGGAGTCTGACATTCTAAGTGACGATGAAGATGACTACCCACACATTCCGAAGAAAAGCAGCCCCACAAAGGACATAGAAATCCAATTCAAGCGCCTGAAAATTTCCGAGAATGCCAGTGAGGTCACAGAGGAAATGTATCCTCTTGAGAGAGATGGTGGGCATGGGGCAGGAGAACATCCTAAGCTGGTGCGTGCCCACTTCTGTCCCATTAAACGGAAGGTGAACAGTACCAGACGTGACAGAGGAACTTTGCTGACCATGCAAGAGCATCACCAGTCACTTGACAGTCATCCTGATGCTTCAAGCTTTGATCTTAATTCAATATTAGAAAGGGAATTTAGTGTACAGAGCTTAACTTCAGTGGTTAATGAAGACTGCTTTTATGAAACTGTGGACAGGCATGGAAAGTCCTAGCTTCACGAGGCAGATTTTTCCTCCCACAAGATTCCAAAACAGATGATTGTTGTATTCTGAGAAGCTACTAACTTTTCAACTTAATGCACTACTGTGTTTCTCCACAGAAGTAGTTGTAAAGGCTTAAGTTATTTTAATTTATTGTGGAACAAAAAATAATTAGTTTAAACCACCCAGAATCTGTAAACTAAGTTCTCTTTTGCATAAAATTAGGTAGCTTTTAAACATTATGGGAAAAGAGAAACGGGGGGGAAATGATCTACAATTTTGATAAGGGTCCAAACAGCTTTAGTGATTTGGGCATTTAATTTCCACAGTTTTAATTTTTGCTTTATTTAAAGCAGTTGAGGTTTTAATTGAGCTTAAAAAAAATAAAAAGCCCACACTATGAAGCAAGGTGTTGTTTATACTTTATTTTATATATATATGTAAATACAAAAGTCTGTACTGTAATCTTATTTTATTGTATTTTTTATTTTCTCTACAAGCCTGTACAGTAAAATGTTCTATTCAGTAGGATGTTCGTTGTGTTTTGCCTTTTTCTCTGAGGTACTGAGTTCAACATATGGGCATTCAATCTTCTGCTTGTTCTATCCTTGTTTATGCTGTCAAATTGTCAATGTAGGTAGGGTGTTCCATTTTAGGGAAAAACCTGTATTTATTCTGTAATCCTGATGCTCATCTTCTTTTGCCTTCACATTCATTTTAGATACGCTTTGCTCCCAGAAGATATGAAAATATGCACACTTGCTGAAATACTTCACTCCACCGTTAGTCCTTTTGCTTCGCTAAAGCAACCTGTCATCCTCAGTCCTTTCTAAGTTGCAGTTCTTCCTCTTTTTCTTCCATTTCAGTTCTTCCCGGTAGTTGTAAACAAACAGCTTTGGGTCTTCATCACACATTTTCCTGTACACGTCACAAAGATTTTTAAAGTGAAACATAGAAAGCTGAGTTGGGCGCAGAGTTGGATCAACATCAGCTAACATGAGCATCTGTTCAGCTTTTTCCAGACGTTCAGCTTCAGGAAACAAGATTCTGAAAAGAAGCAGTGGTAATGATTGAAAAAAGGGAACTGTACAAATTACCATTTAATGTCATTATGATTTTTAATTCATCAAGCCCAGAACCACTAGTGGCAGCCAATCTCTGCAAAGTGACTATATTGTAATATAATTTGTTTCATTGTATGTTGTATAGTCAGCCCACTCCAGTGATTTCAAAGGCAAAACATTCATCCTTCTCACTTCATATTGTAACAGGGTGAAGACAAATAACAGCTTTCCCCTCAGAGGAATGGATGTTTAATACACCTGAGTAATGTGAAAAAGTGAGCTGGGGGTGGCTAAATATGAAAGAAAAAACTGCACAATAACACTTTTTGGTCTTGGCAACTGTCTGTGCTCTTCTTGCACCCAGCCCAGGCATCCATGCAGCTAGAGTAAGAACAGCAGCCACTGGAACACACCAAAGCACAATATCAAAAAATGCAAAGAGGCTGGTCTCAAGATGTCAGAATTATATGCTCCACCCTAAAGGATGTTGTTCTAAGTCTCTGGAGTGTGACCTTCTTTAAAGGTCAATACCATAACCTTGAATTAGCTAGCAGCCTCCACTGGCTTAAAGCAATTCACGTCAGGCAACAGCTGCACACTTACATAGTGCTGACTTGACCTCCCAGGCCTTATGGACGAGGGTAGGAATTCCTTTGCAGTGGCAGCTGGCTCCACTTTACCAGCGCCTGCTGCTGTTCCTCTTAGCATTGGAGGAGCAATGTGTTGGCTTTCACAACGACCAAAAAGGAAGCTCCCCCACCTCTGTGGTGCCGGCACAGTTTATACATATTCTTAACTCCCCATGTCCAGGTGCCAAGTTTGAAATTTGTTAAATGCAGTTTTATGAAAAGTCTTGCCTGTATCCTGTGTGAAGATGGCATAAGAATGCCTCCATTCAACCTGACCACAGCTGTCTGTTAAGGTTATTAATACTGACACTTCTAATGGAGAAATTATAATTGAATTGTAAGATTTTTATTAATAGCGTTGCAACTAGTTGTTGTTACTTATGAAAATTCTTATATCGGACTGGAATTACTTAAGTATTTTATGTTGGGCAGCTTCCTCAAGATCCTTGAAACTACTGAAGAGCTCTTCCAGTAATGAATGGAGCACTGAGGCTGGCAAAGGAAATTCTCTGGATTCTGATGAATGCAGCCTCAGCAGCAGTACTCAGAGTAGCAGCTGCCATACCACAGACAGCATCCTGGAGTCTAAAAATTCATCTCCTGTGAAACATCTGCAGAACTCTGCATCTGATTTCTCCGACAGCCCTGTCAAGGAGTCTGACATTCTAAGTGACGATGAAGATGACTACCCACACATTCCGAAGAAAAGCAGCCCCACAAAGGACATAGAAATCCAATTCAAGCGCCTGAAAATTTCCGAGAATGCCAGTGAGGTCACAGAGGAAATGTATCCTCTTGAGAGAGATGGTGGGCATGGGGCAGGAGAACATCCTAAGCTGGTGCGTGCCCACTTCTGTCCCATTAAACGGAAGGTGAACAGTACCAGACGTGACAGAGGAACTTTGCTGACCATGCAAGAGCATCACCAGTCACTTGACAGTCATCCTGATGCTTCAAGCTTTGATCTTAATTCAATATTAGAAAGGGAATTTAGTGTACAGAGCTTAACTTCAGTGGTTAATGAAGACTGCTTTTATGAAACTGTGGACAGGCATGGAAAGTCCTAGCTTCACGAGGCAGATTTTTCCTCCCACAAGATTCCAAAACAGATGATTGTTGTATTCTGAGAAGCTACTAACTTTTCAACTTAATGCACTACTGTGTTTCTCCACAGAAGTAGTTGTAAAGGCTTAAGTTATTTTAATTTATTGTGGAACAAAAAATAATTAGTTTAAACCACCCAGAATCTGTAAACTAAGTTCTCTTTTGCATAAAATTAGGTAGCTTTTAAACATTATGGGAAAAGAGAAACGGGGGGGAAATGATCTACAATTTTGATAAGGGTCCAAACAGCTTTAGTGATTTGGGCATTTAATTTCCACAGTTTTAATTTTTGCTTTATTTAAAGCAGTTGAGGTTTTAATTGAGCTTAAAAAAAATAAAAAGCCCACACTATGAAGCAAGGTGTTGTTTATACTTTATTTTATATATATATGTAAATACAAAAGTCTGTACTGTAATCTTATTTTATTGTATTTTTTATTTTCTCTACAAGCCTGTACAGTAAAATGTTCTATTCAGTAGGATGTTCGTTGTGTTTTGCCTTTTTCTCTGAGGTACTGAGTTCAACATATGGGCATTCAATCTTCTGCTTGTTCTATCCTTGTTTATGCTGTCAAATTGTCAATGTAGGTAGGGTGTTCCATTTTAGGGAAAAACCTGTATTTATTCTGTAATCCTGATGCTCATCTTCTTTTGCCCTCACATTCATTTTAGATATGCTTTGCTCCCAGAAGATATGAAAATATGCACACTTGCTGAAATACTTCACTCCACCGTTAGTCCTTTTGCTTCGCTAAAGCAACCTGTCATCCTCAGTCCTTTCTAAGTTGCAGTTCTTCCTCTTTTTCTTCCATTTCAGTTCTTCCCGGTAGTTGTAAACAAACAGCTTTGGGTCTTCATCACACATTTTCCTGTACACGTCACAAAGATTTTTAAAGTGAAACATAGAAAGCTGAGTTGGGCGCAGAGTTGGATCAACATCAGCTAACATGAGCATCTGTTCAGCTTTTTCCAAACGTTCAGCTTCAGGAAACAAGATTCTGAAAAGAAGCAGTGGTAATGATTGAAAAAAGGGAACTGTACAAATTACCATTTAATGTCATTATGATTTTTAATTCATCAAGCCCAGAACCACTAGTGGCAGCCAATCTCTGCAAAGTGACTATATTGTAATATAATTTGTTTCATTGTATGTTGTATAGTCAGCCCACTCCAGTGATTTCAAAGGCAAAACATTCATCCTTCTCACCAATTTCTTCAACTAAAAAACCTGATCTCACTTCATATTGTAACAGGGTGAAGACAAATAACAGCTTTCCCCTCAGAGGAATGGATGTTTAATACACCTGAGTAATGTGAAAAAGTGAGCTGGGGGTGGCTAAATATGAAAGAAAAAACTGCACAACAACACTTATTGGTCTTGGCAACTATCCGTGCTCTTCTTGCACCCAGCCCAGGCATCCATGCAGCTAGAGTAAGAACATCCGCCACTGGAACACACCAAAGCATAATATCAAAAAAATGCAAAGAGGCTAGTCTCACGATGTCAAAGTTATATGCTCCACCTAAAGGATGTTGTTCTAAGTCTCTGGTGCTTTTTGGATGTATTTTTACATCTTTTCTCTCCAACTGGGTCCCAACATGGCTTATCACATCATTCTGCTCTTCCCTACCTTAGCCTCACAACAACAGTCCCATGAGTCAAGTTAGCTCGAGACAGTGTGATGGTCCCAAGGTAGCCTAATGTGCTTCCAAAGCAGAGATTTGACCCTGATTGCTAGCTATCCCTTTAACCACTAGGCTTCACGCCTGAGCCATGGTGACATTTTCCACTGTCATCAGCTGCCACAGTTGTCAAGTAAACATGCATGTGTGAGTACACTTTAAGTAGCAGCTGCACCAGCATTCATGTTACAAACAGATATTTATACTTGTGAAAGAATTCCAACCGTATTCCTTGATGACAGTGTTTTCTTCTGAACTGAAAAACACTTTGAACAACTTTCTCCACCAGCTTAAAGGGCTGTTGTATCTTTGGTTGCACCAACGGTGTAAAATGTATGATAGTCACATCCACCTGTGAACAGAAAAAATATGACTCAACATTATCTCAATCGATTTAATGAGAACTTGCATTCAAAGAACGGTAGGAGTGAAAACGGAAAATTATCCAGTCACACTGCAGAATGTAAGCTGGGCATATAGACTCGTTGCTGTAATAGCTGAACAGAAACCAGACTTGAGAACGAACAATAGGTTCAGGGTTCAGATTCCATAGACTTCAAATGCATATGCAGTTGTCTGCTACGCATGGTTTGCCCTGCAACGTGTGTCTTGTCCAGAGGCATAAGAAATTCCTTTATCAATGCAATGTCTTTCCAGTCCCAGTGAAAGGTAGCTCTCCAGTCCTGTTCTGCAGCCATGGGGCTGTTCTAGCATTCCACTCAGCATCCTGGTGCTTATCGTACTTGCTACAGCAGCCACTTGGCCTCCCTCTTTTCCTCCATACTGCTCAGCTAGTTAGGGACAGGAGCTGGCACTCTGTCAAAAAGAGTTTTTAAGTGGACAGCCACTGCATGGCTGTAACCATGTAAGCAAAGTGGCAACAGCTTCCAAGGATGCAGCCCCACCAGAAACCATTTAGCAAGCTTTTGGGTGCTTCAGCTCCCAGCAAGAATCAAGGCTGACCTCCTAAAAAGCAAGGGAAAAGTAAGATTCTTCTTGCCCTGTCCTGTTAGGGCAAGAAGCAAGGGGGGAAAGCCTGCAAAAGCTCCACACAGCCTGCTACCATTCTTCAGAGGAGTCGAACTAAGACTCAAAGGAGACCTACATCCCAGAGAGAAGCCAACTCTTACTGAACTACTAGGTTGGACAGTGAGTCTCACTCGGTCCAGAACACTGTACACTTATCCAGTTCATACACTGAATCAAGGTAGGGTGTGATGGTCAGAGCCAATCTCCTTTGTATCCTGGAGTCTCAGAGAGAAAGCCAGCAATGGCCAATCAGTGTCCTTGGAAACTTGGGGGGGGGGGGTTTGAACCTGGGTCTCCCAGACCTTACCCCAACACTCTAGCCACACTACGCTTGCACTCAAGTGATTTACATAACACCTAAGCTCCGTCAACTCACTTAAGTGTACTTTCAGGGTCATGAATCGGCCCTAAGCAATTCTGTGGAGGAGAGATTCATGATTCACCTTTCTAAGCACATTTCCATCAAAAAGGTGGGATGAAAAGGGATTAAAAATAAATGTACAGGTGAGTAGGGAATATACAACATCTGCCGAGTTATACAAGAAGCACCAATGGTTATAGGTTAACAACTATATTTTACTGTTCTTAAAAACAGAGTTTGTTTACTTGAATAATACTCCTTTGGGAAACTTCTGAGGTTCCTTAAAAGCTATGTTTCTCTTGTCAAGCCTCCAAAAACCTAGTCTAAAACTACCTCGTACCCCACTAGTGAGCCTTTGCCCAGGCTGTCCCCCCTCTCCCCCTAAGCTTTCTGGAGCAACTCTGTTTTGCAGCCACATTGGAAAGCTAAGAAAGTAGGAGACAACCACCACCACCCCTTTCCAAGAGGCTGTTCCAGAGGCATGATGCAGCCATTGGTTTGGCCCAGACTGTTGCTGGGCATACTTTAGACAAGAGGGTTACTGCCATTAGACCTTGCTGGGAAGACCAAAGCCGCTTCATGTGAACATGCACATAAAGGCAGTCCTTCAATGTGGATTAATAGAGGATCTGGAATAAAATCTCCATCCCATATGAGTTTTCAGCAAGCTGTAGTTATCTCTAGAGATCTCCCAGTTTTATTTTCCTGCTAACTGGCTACAGTTGGGGCCTAGCTCTTAGTTAGAAGTGCTGTGGTTAGAGTCCCAATGTACACTGTGTCAAGCCAAGAACCAGGGAACTGCCTGCGATGGGAATGAGAAATACAGAAATACAGCCCTGGTTTCAGAATCAGTGGGAAGGGTAATCCTCACAAGACAGTCTCCATCCCACCACTGAGTCCAAAGTTTCATTTTGCTACCGGAAATTATTTGAATTCTTATAAAGATAAAAACCTAATAATTTCTGAATTTATCCTGTCTTATTGCTTTCATTGTAATTTCACAATTCAGAGCTAAAATAGCTAACAAAACCAAAAAAGACTTAGGCATGCCGAATTCTTTGGCTGTTATCCATAGTTCTGAACAAGATGCTAAAGGAAAACTTTAAGAGTTATCTTAGAAAGGACCACTTTTTCATATACTGTGGTCATTAGCTTTGGGAATACAAACTGACTTGCTTATTCCTTTTTTTAACCCACCATTTCTTTACTCCGAGGAGCTCACAGCAGTGTACATGCTCTCCCCCATTTATCCTGCACAACAACCCTGTGAGGTAGGCCAGGGTGAGAGAAAGTGACAGGCTTTAAGTCAAGCTCAGTGTGGAGTAATGATCAGCATGTTAGACTAGGACCAGGGGCACTTTGGTTCAAATTCCCACTTGGTGATTAAGCTTCTTAAAGTGCTTTGTGGAGGAGCCATTTGACATCAGTGTCCTGAAAGGAAAACACTGTTTCAGGCAGAAGGCATGCAGAATTATGGCAGATCCCATCCCACTGAAAGAAAGAATTAAACCTTGTTAAAAAAAATGTCCAATGCATTAAATGTAAGTTGGCATTTAAGGTGAAACAGCTGACAGAACTGTAATCTCGGGGTTACGTTTGGATGTTTTCTGCTTGTGGAAATATGAGGCACTTCACACTGCTCACTCCATTACAGCCTTGAGTTCCTAGAACTCTAGGAAAGCTGATTTGTAACTATGGCAATGGATCCAGGAAAATGCTGTTCACTTGCAACAGGATGCTTTAAAATTATAGACATTATGTGCTATTTCTGGGCTGTGCATCTTAGCAGGCAGGATTACAAAGTCTAATAGAATACATATAAACACACTTAACATCGTTGCTGACATTACTAGCCTCTCCGCTTTATTTTGCAAATATTTTAACAGCGCAAAAATGACTTCCGGGAAAACAAAGAAAAGATCACTTTCTTTGGGGAAAAGACCCTACATGTATGTCTCTATCCCAGGGGTGGACAAACTTGCTTAACGTAAGAGCCACACAGTAACATCAGATATCTGAGAGGCGCAAGACATGAACAAATATTATATATGTTTTTATTGGAAAATATGCAAATTTGCTTTTTATTAACATTAACGTTTAATAAGACTGCCAGAAACAAAAACAAAAGGGGTGAAAAGAGATATTGATAATGATATTTAAAGAGACAAATGCTTTCTCCAAGCCGGCCAGGGTGGGTGGGGGCTTTGAAAACGCATTTAAAGTTGCTTTCTTTCTCTGCTCTCCCCCCCCCCCACCTCAGGCCTACCCATGGAGGGGAACAATGGCTGGGGAAGGGAAGACTGCCTCCCCTCCGCTTCCCCAGCCACCCTGCCGGGAGGAGCACAACATGTGTGAAAGGGCCACATGGGGCTCCCAAGCCGCAGTTTGGCCACCCTTGCTCTAGCTATCCTATCACTTTTGCTGCCATTTTTTCCATAAAAACAAGGGGGGGATTCTATATAGTGCGACAACTGAAATACAGTTCAGCAAAGTAAGCAAGCAGACTATTAGAAAAAGCATACAACCACAATGAGTACAAGGGCAGCCCATGAAGGCTCAAAATAAGCCACTTTAAATAAAGTCTGAGTGAGTCAGAAGGAGAAATCCCCACTCCATCCTGCCTGGTTCCACCCCAGATAAGCAACAGGGCACCAACTGGGCAGGCAGCTGGGCAAGCAAACCAAAGACTCTAACAAGCAGTGAGCCTGGACTATGCATCATTGACTGGATGACACCCCCTCCCCCCCCGCACATACACATACACACACACACCTCCCAGACAAACAGCTATGGCTACAGAAACTCAACAGGGCTAAAGACTCCAGAAGACAAAGGGATAAACATGGTTAAAATATGTTGCCTTGTGTTTTAGATCATCTGGGATTCAAGCATGCTGTATAAAACTCAAGGACAGATCATTTAGGGTACAGACATCAGAGTTCATGGGCTGTTGCTCAAATTCTACTTCTTGAAACATATAAATACCACATAACTTCAATCTTAGGCCAACTGCACTGGCTACCCATTTGCTCCTGTTTACCTGTCTTTGGAAACATTTTCTTGTATCTGTTCCCCCTTGTCCCTTGAGATCTGCTCCATATTCTATCATTTGTCCAAGTAAACACTGCAAGAGTAGAGAGAGTTTTGTCTGGTGCTGCACCCACAGTGTGGAATGCCCTCCCAAAGGACCATTACAGGCTGTTTCCCAGATAATAAACTACCTTTATTTTTAAAAGCCTCTTACTAGTGGTTGAGTGAAAGTTGTGTTAAATGGCTGGCTTCTAAGGTGGCTGCTAATATTTTAAATATTTAAAGCCCTGACCTGAATAGCCCAGGCTAGTCCAGATCTCGGGAGCTAAACAGGCTCAGCCCTGACTAGTAGTTGGATGGGACACCTCCAAGGAATACCATGGTTGTGACACAGAACACACGAACCTGCCTTATTCTGAATCACACCCTTGGTCCATCAAAGTCTGTATTGTCTTTGGCAGCAGCTCTCCAGTGGCTCAGGCAGGGGGTCTTTCACTTCACCTCCTGCCAGATCCTTTAACTGGAGATGCTGGGGATTGAACCTGGGACCTCCTGAATGCCAAGCATGTGCTCTACCACTGAGCTACAGCCTCACTGAGGCAGGCAATGACAAACCACCTCTGAAGTCTCTTGCCTTGAAAACCCTATAAGGTTGCCATAATTCAACTGTGACTTTACTGAATTTTAAAAAATGTGTACATTGCCATTGTTTTCTTTGCACAAACAGCATCTATAAGAATGTATGCACACACACACTGCTGAGCCCTTCCAAATGGTAACTGACCTTTATTAACTGCTTGAAGTTCCGTACTAGTCCAAAGTCCGTTACAACAAAAGCACGACACATCCACAGGGTCCCTGTTGCTGTCAGTCTGGGTTAAAATGTTCACAACTGAACTGTTCTGTGTCAACAGCATATGCACGTGGTTATC